AAACGGGGGGCCGAAAGCCTCCGGAGCAAACGGGAGGCCGAAAGCCTCCGGAGCAAACGGGAGGCCGAAACCAGGGGACATCAGCTCGCCCATTAACAAGGTAGAGATTTCAAAACTCATAGAACCAGTCCCACCCTTGTGAAATATGTGGTAAATGCTACCGCTTGCCCAGGAATTTGACCGACCACTTAACTCATTCTGGTGAGAGGCCTTTTTGCTGTAGCTTGCCTGGTAAATGCTTTAATGAAATGACTCATTTGGATCATCACATAAAAATTCACACAAGCAAGAAGCCGTATCTTTGTAAACTGCGTGGTAAATCTTTCCAGTCATTTTCCTCCTCAGTGGTAAACTGTGATTCCTTCCTACAGGTTTTAAAACTTTCCTCCAACTGTTTTGATTGAGGGATCTGCCTTGTTTCCATTGCACCACTTCTTTCCCATCGATTAAAAAACCTGACTTGAGTGTTGAGGCTTCATGTGAACCTTGTATTCAACCAGCAACAAAGGACCGGAAGTATCATTTATGTTTAAAATAATCTATAAACATTTGCATCTTTTCACCTAAAACCTAAATCAACCAGAATAAAGCTGTATTTGCAGAACAGTTATATCTCTTAGCTTTGTTAGCAAATCCTCTGACAATTTCCATGTTTCTGACCCAGTTACAAAGTTTTCAGTTTGAGATTGGTTCCATTGCCATGAATGTATTGAATTCAGTTTTATTCTAGTTACTCTAACAATAAAAAGGGATACATTTCTAAAATTCGACCAATCAGAACCTGAGTTTTTCCGGCTCTATGCCATAACACACCAGGTTCACACTTGTGCTCTGTTTGTTTCACCTCTTAGGCTGTTTGTTTTTGATCTCAACTGAATCCAACAAAAAGTTTAATAGTGTGGAGGAAGCATTTCAGATGATCCGTGAAGACTCTGGGACAGAAGTGTGTGTCCAGGATTCCTCGTCTGAAGATGAAGAACTCATTTTTCCAGCTCATAGTGAAGATTTGGAGTTTGAAGGGCTTTAACCTGAGAGGTAAGATGAGCGTTTTTCACACGGCGCTTCATGGTTTCTCTCAATAAATGTATTTATTTATTTATTATAGAGAATTTTAGGCAATCAGTACGCTTGAATATGAAGTCTGTCGTCCGCGGACAGCAGGCGCGGCTCATGGAGTGCACACAGTACGACTGAGTGCACTGTGTGGGACCCTTAACATTGTTTTAAGTCTTGTTCCGAGTCAAATAAAATAACAGACATACAGGCCATACTCCTCCTCATTTGGGGAATAATGGCATGATTTAATGTTATTTTGACAATAAATATTATTCTTTTATGCTTAATGACGACAAAGGTGATGACAGAGACTACGAGCCACCAAGAAGAGTCTTAATCTCTGCCTCACACGATCCTGAGGGGTACGTAATCGTAATCTATTTACTTTTGGAAAATTACTCATGTTTGAATGTAGTCTTGGTTCTTTAACAAGCATTCATATTTAATTGAGCTCTAATAAGGAACCCCAACAGGAGAGAAGAAAATCCAAAAAGGCTGCTGGTGAGGGTGCAACAGTTTGGCATGGCAAAGATGAGGAGGATCATCACCACCACTTCAATTTCACACCAACAAGAAAACCAGGCCCCACCTTAAACCAGGAAACATCCTGGACCCCACTGTCTCTGTTTCATTTGTTTTTCAGCGCGTCTGTGATACAAACACTCATTGACAATACAAATGCTAACACCTGAAACTTTTTTATGCATAGCGGAAAGAGCGGGTACAGCGGGGGCCAGGGCTTGAATTACTCGTCTGTTTTGAACCTCTTGCCGCCGTCTTTGCTGGGTGAGGGCTACACTTTGTATGTAGTCTGTTTTTGCACTGCAATTAGGCTCCAGTTGGAGTCAAACAAAGCAGCTTATTGCCGTTTTTGATGTGTGAAAAAACTAAGTTCTTTACAAAAAGAAGAGAAATCCCCACTTTTCTAAATGATGCTGAAATGGCCAAACGTCTAAGTATGTCTACATAAAAAAGTAATTTTGTTTTGGTTTGCCTCGGTTCCTTTCGTTTTGCACAAGTTGCTTTAGGATTTCCAACAGTTTGTATTCCTGTTAATTATACTTTAAAAGGTTTATGTGGCATTTAATGCTGAAAAATTGAAGGAGGAAAGTATTTTTGTCCATGTTCCTTATCTTTTATAAGATATATTGAGTATTATAACATGATACCAAAATTATTCTAACATTTGTAAGCTATTTGCACATGATGCATCTTGTTCGTGTTTGAAGAGCATTAATGAATCCAAACCGTTATTCTGTTGATTCTTCTCTGTTCCATCAACACTCTAGAACACACGGGTTTTCTGGTTCTGGTCCACTCTGCATCCCCAGAATCGAGCCAAACATGGAGAGAAGCAACATTCAGTTTTTATGCTTCTGTTTGAAATACATTTTTAAAACCCTTCAAAACAGGTGAAACAAGGAGTTCCTTTAAATCAAGGCTAAAGACAATTGGTTGAGTTGCCTTCAATTAATATTAACTGTAAAAAAAAATATTTAATCTGAATTTAAATCATTTTTGTACTTGTTGACTGGAGAAAGCCTATTTTAAGTTTATTCTTTCTAACCAAATAGAGAAGGTACACTTTAAATGTTTTAAAATCAAAAGTCTCCTTGACATAAGCAGTATGACTGAAGTGTTTCAGGACTGAGCCAAGTGTCCTCTGTATTGGAAATCAAAATAAGCAGAAAAAACCCAGGCAAAATTAAATGAAAACCTTCAGTAGAAAAACAAACGTTTACGTTTGAAGACGGAACCTTAAGCACAAACCCTGTTTCTGGTGTAAATCTTCGTGTGAGACATCCGGCGGAAGTAAACAACAGGGCGCTAGCAGCGTTAGCTTTCAGGCTTCCTTCAGTTTATCGTCGTTTGTGAGACGGTTTCTGCTGTGTGAACTGAATATTTCAGTATCTGAGGTAATTACATCTTGATTTCAACGTCAGCCGTGTTGCTGATACCAGCTGGAAAACCAAAATTATCTCAACCTGCAGGTATGTTAACTGCACGGTTCTGAATGAACTAACGGGAATGGAAAGAATATGATCTAAATCTAGCTGAGGTAGAAAGATGAGTCAGTTAATTAATCAAGTTGTTGTTAATCACCCTTTTATATTTTACATACGAGAGTAAGCGGGGAGAAAACAGGCAGTTCAACAACTTTTAATACAGAAGCAGCCGAACTAAACGTTTCCAATTAATTTTTAGCTTTTTTATTGAGATCTACTGCTGTTACAAATAAACTCGTATTTTGTTGTGACTGGAGATCAACTTCAGATGAAGCTCAAAACTCCCCATCTGGAGGCTTTGCCCCGCCAGAACGTAACGTCTTTAGGTCCGCCATTTTGGGAGTGGCATGCTGTCCTCAGGAATACAAAATTAATCAGCTATTTTTCACAAATGGTTTTCATAACTAAGATGTCAGTGCGGAATCAGCTTGTTAATAACATTTTCTAAAGTTAATCATGACAAAAAATAGAGTCCAAACACTCTTGCAGTTGCACTGCAAAGTTTTTAAAGTGTGGGGTGTGTGAGTTGGTAGGATTACGTCCTAGGTCTACCTCTACAGTTAAATTATGAAATATTTTTCACATGTCACATTTTAGTTCAACAAATTTAGGAACATAATCCAAAATGAAAGCATAATTGTGAATTACAATTTCACAATTGGAAAAGCTTAATTGTGTATTAAGTTATGTTACAGAATTGTAGAGTTTATTTGATCATATCTCTTGCGTTTTTCTCATCCTGCCATTTTGTTTTGTTGTTTCTGCAGCTTAGTGCACTATTAGGAAGTGCTGGTTGGATTAGTTCTTTTTCATCCAACATTGTCTTCCTCTTTTGTAAAAAAAAAAAAAAAAAGACATAAATGTTGTTTATTAAATAGTTACTAATCTCCTGTTTTTGACTTCCTCAGGTCTTCCACAGCATCATGTCGGTTATTACTTGGGAGGTTGATGCTGATCACATTCTCATTAGCAAACAAAGGTCAAGCTCTCCTCTTGACCATGATTTACCAAACGGTGTGGAAATAAAAGATGAACCGGAACCCCAGACGACTGAGACAGAAGACCCAGAACCTCGAGTGATTAAAGAAGAACAGATTGAGTTGTGCATCTTTCAAGATGAAGGCCAGGTTTTGGTGAAGCAAGAGGCTGAAACCTCCATCTCCATGGAGAATCCTGCTTATAGGGAAGCATTTCAAGACGGACCAGAGCAGCAGCAGATGATGGAGACGAAGGAGGAACCAGAGCCTGTAGAGATTAAAGAGGAGCAGGAGGAGTCCTGCGGTAATCAGGACATAGAACAGCCAAATGTTTTTGAGTTTTGTGGTAATTCTTTCATGCAGCATACTGAGTTGGCTAATCACATGATACCTCAAGCAGATGAGAAACCTTTCTCCTGCCTGACTTGTGGAAGAGGTTTTAACAAGCAGTACAACTTGACCGTCCACATGAGAACTCACACAGGTGAGAAGCCATACCCTTGTGAGCTGTGTGATAAATCTTTCAGGAGGAGCAATGATTTGGCCCGTCACATCAGAACTCACACAGGTGAGACACCATATTCCTGTCAGTTTTGTGGTAAATCCTTTAACGACAACAGTCATCTCACCATTCACCTGAGAACACACACTGGTGAGAAGCCCTACTCATGTGAAGTGTGCGGTAAATCTTTGACTGACAGCAGTCATTTGATCAAGCACATGAGAACTCACACACCTGAAAAGCCTTTCCCATGCCTGACTTGTGGAAAAGGTTTCACTGCTCAGTCTGACCTGACAGTCCACATGAGAACCCACACCGGTGAGAAGCCCTTCACCTGTCTGTTCTGTGGTAAAGGTTTTATCCAGAAAACTACCCTGAGTTATCACATGAGGACCCACACAGGTGAGAAGCCTTTTCCATGTGACCTGTGTGATAAATCTTTTATTCAAAGCAGCGATCTGGCCCGCCACCTCCGAACCCACACAGGGGAGAAACCATATTCTTGTGACTTGTGTGACAAATCTTTCAGACAGAGCAGCGATCTGGCTCGTCATATTAGAACTCACACGGGAGAGAAGCCATTCTCATGTCAGACCTGTGGAAAAGGTTTTACCAAGCAGAATAATCTGACGGTGCACATGAGGATTCATACAGGTGAGAAGCCTTATTCTTGTGAAGCATGTGGTGAATCCTTCACTGTCAAATTTAGTTTGACTAAACACAAATGTAAAAATGCCAACCAGGAAGTTCTGCGACAGTAGAGCTGCTCTCTGATTCACAAACTAGTCAGGTTTATTGGTATAGCACATTTCAGCAACAAGGCAGTTCAAATTGATTTGCATGATTAAAACATAACACATTAAATAATTTAGAAACATGCAGCAAACTACATTTTGTCAAATCCCATCATCAAAATCATCACACATAATAATCCTCAAATATATTAATACATTTACAAGCAGTGTAATAACTGTTTATGCATGGAAAATTTCAGGTTTTCCATGAGTTTAACATTTGAAACAAAACACAAATAGATTTGGTGTTGATCAAAGACAAACAAATGGAGTTTTAGCCTCAATGTACAGAACGTCAGTGTTTCAACAGTTGTGCAGTTTTTGGATGTTTGTTTATTGAAGGCAAGGTTGTCACCATCTTCAGAAAAAGACTAAATGGCAGGATTTAGGCCCCTTCCCCTCGTTGTGTTTGTGAAAAAAGGAACGGGGGTTGAAGTCAACCCTCCTCTGTTACGCCCCTGAATCACCAAGCCAGCAGGCAGGATGCCACTGCCTCTACTGGTGATTTCTGATTGGCCAAATGGGCTTCCAATGGATGTTATGATAGAAATTTGTATAAATCTCATCAGAATACACCTTTTTAACAGGCATATTCATGTTTTTATTTTGCTTGGGTTTCCCCATCATTTTCTTACTGATTGCTGTATTTTATATCTGGGGATTATTTTGTAACCTGCATGTCATGTAAAATAACTGTTAAAAATGTTATTTCAACAAAGCTTACAGCTTGATGTGTTGATACAACATGAATGAAGTGTTAAAATAAGGGTTTTTATTATTGATTTGTTATTCCTGAGTATTAGCGGTATCCTGCTTCAGATGATTAAAATATGTTATGTTTGGATGATTAAACTATTTACATTCATTCTTTTAATTGGTATTTTGTATTTTTTTTTTGTCTTTTCCCCAGCTTGTGTTTAAAAATTAACACACAGATAACCCCCATCTCACAATCCGTACCAGTTACTTTGATAAGTGCTGAGTGTGCACAAGTTTACATAAAACAGACCACAGGTAGTAAAAAAATAGCAAAATCAAGTAATTCAATTCAGAGTATTTTGTATAGTGGTAATTCACAGGGAATATCTCACAAGGCGCTCTACAAAAAGTCATTTCAGGAAACAAACAGAGAAGCATTGCTTCTCTGTTTGCTACAAGTGTAGCAATAAAACTAAATATTTAAGATTTTGAAACTTAGAACATCTAAGCCACTAAACATTTTGTAATAAAAAATAAAAATTAAATCGGAAGCCAGGTTCAGTTTCGTGCTGGGGGCGGAACTTATGGTGCGCTCTTGTTTCAGGTGTACATCTCCGCGTTGGACATTCAGCGGAAGTAAACAACAGCAGGCTAGTAACATTAGCTACCAGGGTTCCTCCTGTTTACCGTCGGCTAGAAAGAGGTTTCTGCTGTGTGAGCTTAATGTTTCAGTGTCTGCAGTAACAATGTCTTCAGTTCTTCATCGGAGAGCTGCTGCTGCAGAAACATTCAACAACATCGACTTTTAGGAGGAAGAGATCGACCATCAGCTCAGACTGCTGGATACCAGCTGGAAAACCCAACTCATCTCGGAACCTCCAGGTATGTACACTTTATGGTTCTGAATGAACTGACACTGAAATACAGAGAATACGTTCAAGGAACTAGTTGATACCGCGGATTATTATTTGGTTGGCTGATAGGGCAACCCGTCCTGTTTAGGTCGACGGAACCTTGATATACAAGGTAAATTTATAAAACATTTAATTTACCTTGTTTAAATATTGGCAATAGTTTTGTTTTTGGCTTAGTATGTTGATTTTACGTTATCTGAAGGTAAAGTATTACAGAATACCATACTTGTATAATCCAAACACCTACAAATAATGTTATTGATAATTGATAAATGAGTCATGTCCATCACAGGTGAGGCATTCAGGTCCACATTTGTTTATCCATCCATTTCCTACACTCTTGTCCCTAATGGGGTCAGGAGGTGCTGGTTCCTCTCCAGCTAATGTTCTGGGCGAGAGGCGGGGTACACCCCGGACAGATCGCCAGTCTGTCGCAGGGCAACACACACACACACACACACACACACACACACACACACACACACCTAGGGAGAATTTAGAGAGACCAATTAACCTGACAGTCATGTTTTTGGACTCTGGGAGGAAAACGGAGTACCTGGAGAGAACCCACCATGCACAGGGAGAACATGCAAACTCCATGCAGAACCCAGAACCTTCTTGCTGCAAGGCAACAGCTCTACCAACTGCGCCGAAACTATTTTATTCTTCCACATTGGATGGTTTGTGAGCATTAAAACATGCTTCCCAATCAGATTTAAATCTGGGCTTTGACTAGGCTGCTTCCAAATCTAGTTTTTGTTTTGCTAAAGCAGATGTTCTGCTGAATAATTCCTGCCAATGATGTGATGTACTCTTTCAGAATCTTCTAGAAGATTCCAGAATTATAGTTGTATTTATTAACCCAAACGTATGTAATTGTGGTCTGAGTGGAAAAAAAATGACCAAATTAATAATTAGAAATGAACACTTACTGTTATTCTGTTTCACAAATCTAACATTGGTTTTGTAAAACCAATGTTTGTTAAAAAAAAATGTTTAAACAGTGTTTCTCATTTTCTTTATAAAGAACTCAAACATTATTTGCAAAGCTGGAAATTTCATTTTTAACATAAAAGAAAATCTATTTTTTGAAAATGATTTTGAGTTGAGCTGAACACCAAAACATTCATCACATAAAAAACCTCGCAAAAATAAAAGCTTGTGCACGTTTCCATAATGATCAACACCTTTATACATTTTTATTTATTCTATTTGTCACAAACATCTTCATTGAAGTACTGACAGTTTTGGTGTCTACGTGGTTTCATGTAGTTTCAATTAAATTAAATTTAAGAATACATTATCATTAAGGGAAATTAAATATCATAACTTATCATCCAAGTATCTCAAAAGAGCTGTTGTTGATGGTGATGCTGTGGGCAGGAAGGATCTCCTGTAGCAGTCAGTATTGCAACACATCTGAAGTATTTTTACTTTATTAGCAAAATGTTCTTTTAGCAAATGAGCCTGCAGAGCTTTAAATGTAGTCCTGGATTCTCCTGTGTCCTCCTGGATGAATCTTTAATGAGTTCTTGGAGTTATTTTAGTAGCCAGGTCTCCACTGTTCCATATTTTCTCAATTTATAAACAGTAGAAAATATTAATTAAAATATTATCTACATTTTGTTTTTTCCCAGTATCTATTAATTTATTTATTTTTTTATTTATTTATTTATTTTTTTTTACAAAACTGTTAATGCTGTTGTGCTGTTCTTTCAGATCTTCTACAGCATCATGTCTGTTACTTCATGGAAGGTGGTTGCAAATCACTTTCTCATAAATGAAGAAAGAAACTCTACTCTTGATCAAAAGATATCAAACACTGTAGATTTAAACGAGGAACATGAGGAACCAGAACTACAGCAGATCAATAAAATGAAAGAGGAGCCAGAACCTCAATCTATTAATGAAAAACAGCACGAAAAGCTGCTTTTAGTGAAGCAGGAGACCAACACCTCTATAGTGAGTTCTGATAATGAGCAAATATTCCACAATGTATCGGAGGTGAAGGTGGTCCAGATTAAAGAGGAACAGAAGCAAATCTGCAAGGATCTGGATGGACATTTTGTAGTGAAGCAGGAGAGTGACACCTTAAAGTTGACTCCTCCATATGAGAAAAACTTCCACCAAAAAAAAGAACTTGGAAATACTGAACCTGAGGAGCCAAAACAGATCATTGAGGTGAAAGAGGAGCCAGAAGCTTGGCAAGTAAAAGATGAACAAATTGAACTCTGCATCTTTCAGGATGTAGGGGAAGTTTTGGTGAAAAGGGATGCTAGTCGCTGTACTCAGACTCCTCCTGTAGATCAAAAAGATTCCAGTGAAACAATTAAGAATCATCTACCATCTTCTGCACCCCTTGAAGCCGAACACCAAGAGCAGCAAGTAATCAATCATCAAAGCTCTGGATCAAATGATAAGAGAAAGCTGAAGGAGAAAAGACACAAAAAATACAGAAAACAAGGTGACAATGTGGACAACACTAAGCTAAAAAGACATAAAAAGAAATTACCTTTATGTGATGTATGTGGCAAATGTTTCACCACTCGACAAATCCTAACCGTGCACATGAGGACTCATACAGGAGAGAAGCCTTTTGCTTGCAAACTATGTGATAAATCTTTCATTAACAGCAGTAATTTGATTTGTCACATGCGAACGCACACAGGTGAGAAGCCTTTCTCCTGTGGGACCTGTGGGAAAGGTTTCCCCAGGCAACCTGCCCTGACCGCACACATGAGAACTCACACAGGTGAGAAGCCGTATCCCTGTGAGTTGTGTGAAAAAGCCTATCGAGATCGTAGTAATTTGGTACGACACATGAGAACGCATACAGGTGAGAAACCTTATTCCTGTAGAGTTTGTGGTAAATCCTACAGTGGCAGTAGTCAGTTGGCTTATCACATAACGACTCACACAGGTGAGAAGCCTTTCTCATGTCTGACTTGTGGAAAAGCTTTCAACAAGCAAAGTACCTTGACAGTCCACATGAGAACTCACACGGGTGAGAAACCGTACTCCTGTGACATGTGTGAGAAATCTTTTCGAGAGAATAACGATTTGACTTGTCACATGAGGACTCACACGGGTGAAAAGCCGTATTCCTGCGAATTGTGTGAGAAATCTTTCAGATGGAGAAATGTTCTCAATCGACACATGAGAACTCACAGATAAGATGCAATCTTGTCATGAATTATGTGACGAATTCCTCTCTGTCAAATACATATTGACTTAACACAGTATTTATATCTTAAGATATTTTACTAAACTGGTAAAAATACCATGTTACTTAAAATTAGAATCAGATCAGAATCAGAATACTTGTATTGTTATTGTACAGAAGCACAACAAAATGTGTTTCATTACCAAAGAAGAAGGGGTTCCTGGGGCTGCTTTCCCTAGGGGGCGCTGTCCTTTATAAAAACAGGCTTCACTTATTTTGCAAACAGTCCAACTTCTATATTTTGAGTCACAGAACCATCTATTGGTCAAGAAAAGAATAATTTTGAATAATCAAGCCTCTTGTACAAGTGCTTGAATACATTTCAAACTGAAACATGGACTTAAATCCAGAAAACTATGCGACACCGAACAAATCCAAGAACTTTCCACTGTAAGCCCCTAATAACCATTTTCTCCACATTTGTGCTCTTACAGTAATATCTTATAATAATTATGTCAATAATGCCATTGTTGTTAGTGGTATTTGTTGCTCATTTTATCATAGCCAACTACATAGTTTTATATATTTGGATGAATTTAAGAGTGATCATGGATCTCTGTTTTGTGCACTAATTTTCACATCAATAACAGTTTCCCAGTAAAACCAGCAGGTGTCGCCAGCACTCAGCTGTCAGTTGATTCTACGGTCAGTTCTCGAATTTGTGTGCAGCTGTTGCACATGATATATAAGAGGGAGAGACTGTGTAGGTGTTAAAGGTGACTTAAACCTTTTAAGGTAATAATTTGAACCATCACATTATGTGTTGTAAGACTTTGAGTTATCTTTAGTTGCAAGTCTCTGAAAGAAAAAAGAGAACTCAGTCAGGGTTAAAAATTGTCTGTCTGAAGAATTACTTTATAATAACTTCATAGCAGTTAGTCAGAGAGGCGTCAGGAGGAGTAGAAATACTCAAGACTCGATTATTCCCTGGTTAGGAAGAAAAGACTTCACTTTTCTTGCTATTTACGCTGTCAGTTTTTCATGAAGGAAGGTTCTGACTGTTGTCTGTGCTTATGGATTAAACAGTTCAGAGCCGTT